TGTGGAATAGTCTTCCTTCTGATGCGAAGCTAGCGCAATCAATTTATTCTTTTAAAAACTGCCTGAAAGATTCACGCTAACATCTTCTAATATACTGTATATGCATGCTTTAGAAATATGGGTCACACCGTTTGGAACCTAACTCTTGTATTGTAAATAGTTGTATATAATTCTTTATTCCTTTCTATATCATATTTGTAATTTTTAATAGTAACAGACGTCCCTCGTGAAAATCAACAAATCGTTGACGAGGCTAACGTCTTTAAATAAAGTTTACATACATACATACATACCGGTTTACAAGAGTGATTTTTGGAGCTGCGCCAAGTCCTTATATCCTGGGGGCAACCTTACAAAAGCACGTGAAACAGTTTCAAGACGAATATCCAGAGACAACAAAAGCCTTACTCGAGGACACCTACGTGGACGACGTACAAAGCGGAGGAGATTCGATCAGTGAACTTGAAACGTTTAAAGAACAAGCCACGACGATCACGGAAAAAGGTGGGTTCACTCTACATAAGTGGCACAGCAACGTTGAGGAGTTGGAATCCATTTCAAACGAGACTGCGAAAGGTGATCAAGATTCCAACACGAAATCTTACAGTGAGTCAACGACAAAGATCCTCGGAGTTCCTTGGGAAAAGAAAACGGACGTTGTTCGAGTTAGCCTCGAAGCTTGTCAACTCACAGTTTCACCATTGACTAAACGTAAGATATTGGCAGCGATAAACGGTGTATACGATCTGCTTGGGTGGGCTTCACCGGTGATGATTACTGGGAAGATTTTATTCAGTGAACTTTGTTTGCGTAAAGTTTCTTGGGACCAACAAGTACCTGATGACATAGTGCGACGTTGGAATCAATGGGCTAAAACACTTCGTGAATGTACTGAGATCAAAGTACCTCGAAGCGTGGTAAACAACAAGAGTCAACAGATTTCAATACATGGTTTTGCCGATGCAAGCCAACTAGCGGTATGCGCAGCAGTCTACGTTCTAGCCACATACAACGATGGGAAGACAAGTCAGAACCTACTGGTTTCAAAGTCTCGTGTAGCCCCGAAGAAGGTTTCTATACCACGCCTAGAACTTGTTGCTGCCCACACCCTCGCCAAGCTGCTCAGTCGTGTGAATCGCGCTCTCAGTTCGTTGGATATTCTGAAGGAGAATCAATTGTGGTCGGACAGTTCAACAGTCTTGTACTGGTTGGAAAATAGGGGAACATGGTCTAACTATGCGTGCGGAATCGAGTGAAAGCAATCCATGATCTGGGGAACTTCACCTGGCATTACGTACCTACAGATCAAAACCCCAGCGATTTGGGTACTCGTGGAGTCGCACCACGGAAGTTAGGAGAATTTTGGTTAAAAGGTCCAGCATGGTTGACGGACAGATCATTGTGGCCAGAGCAACCTGAAATTACGGAAACTAAGGAAGCGTCATGTGAAACCTTACCAGTCAAGAAAGAGAAAGTACTTCTCGAGAAAGAAGGGGGAGCGAAGAACGAACGAAAAGAATGGGTCGAGAACATCCTTCGGAAACACAAATACTGGAAGCTTCTTCGCGTTACAGCCTACCTGTTGAGATTCGTGAACAATTGCAGGAAAAAGGAACAGCGAAAGGGGCCACTGACAACAGACGAGATCACAGCAGCGGAAAATCGGTGGATGAAAATCGCGCAGGAAGACGAAGAAGTAAACTGCCCTTTCCCGTTAAAGAAAGACGATGTCGGATTGTGGAGATGTCATGGTGGCGTCGCGAGCTAGCATCCTGTGTTCATACCTCGGAAACACCTACTTGCAGAGGTGATCATCGAACATTGCCACAAAGGAACCTTACACGGGGGAGTGCAGGCAACGATGTGCAAGGTACGGGAACGGTTTTGGATCCCTCAACTACGGCGAATGACGAAATCAGCACGGTTTAAATGCAACAGATGCAAGAAGATAAGAGCCAAACCCCAACCTACTCCTACCACATCTGCAATTACCAGAGCATCGGACCCAATACACAAATTCATTTTCCACAACGGGCGTTGACTTCGCTGGGCCAATGTACTATAAGAAACAAAAGAACTCGACCGCGAAGGCTTATGTCGTTCTGTTTACTTGTGCGTGCACGCGCGCGGTGCATCTCAGACTATGCAGAAACCTTAGCACGGATGAGTTCAAGAGGTCGTTGAGAGAGTTTGTCGCAAGGCGGGGTTCTCCGAAACTAATGGTGAGCGACAACGCGAAGACATTCGTGGCCGCCAAGAAATGGTTAGGGACACTTCAACGAGATGAGGAAGTCAACAATTACGTAGCGAGCCAATCCATAAAATGGAAATTCAATCTATCACGTGCACCCTGGTGGGGCGGGTTCTTTGAACGGTTAATTGGCATCATGAAATCAGCGTTATCGAAGGTCGTTGGGAAGGCTATGCTCACTTTTACAGAACTCGAAGACACGTTATTGGACGTCGAATGTTTTATGAACAATAGACCACTTGTATATCTGGGAGAAGAACTCGAAGGGCGTGCAGTAACTCCAAACATCCTGCTTAGAGGGGAACCAGTAACATATCTGGAGGAAAACGTCGAAGAGTTGGAAGAAGAAGCAGACGTAACGCGGCGACTGAAGTATTTAAAGCGTTGTCGAGAGCAGCTACGAAGACGCTGGATCAACGAGTATTTACGTGCACTTGACGAGAAGCAGAAAGGAACCGCAAATCGAGGTGCAACACTGTTGGAAACCGGGCGAGTTGTCTTGATAAAGGATTCACTGAAGAGAAGTGCAAAATGGAGAATTGGACGGATCGAAGGAACGGTCATAGGAAAGGATGGAGTCGTGAGGGGCTACAAAGTACGAACTGGGAATGGGTATCTTGTGGAAAGGCCAGCGCAACTGGTGGCTGATCTAGAAATTGGTGGTGACAGTACAGCGACGACAACGAAAAAAAAACGTGACACACGAAAGCTGAACCCAGAGGTGAAGGAATTCCAACCAAGAAGATCAGAACGAAAGGCGAAGGAAACCGCTCGAAATAGAGTAGTTGGAATTGCGTTGAACGAACTAGATGAGGACTAGAAATGTATTAAAGCTGCATTTCATGACACTTTAATAGGGGGAGAGTGTTGAAAATTCGTTAGTTAATCATTAAGGGGAATACTGTGTTGATTTGGGATATCGGGGGATCTTAGGTTTAGCTTCTAAATATGGAAATGTTTGCGAACAATCTGACCAATCAGGAGTAATCAGAAGTAAGCGGAAGTAATTTGTGATTGTGTTGTTGTTCGAGGGAAAAAAGTTGAGAGAGTTTACGGAAAAATAAAACGTTATAAAACCATAATTGGAGGTGTAAATTTACTTATTTTCGGTGTTGGATGCGAGGCCAGATTCCCGACAATTACCCTCTATTAAGCCCGTTTTCCAATAGCGAATTATTTCGCGCAAAGCGACATTTTAGATCCTTTGTTGGCATCCATTTTGAAGCCCTCGAAAACAGTCAAAATTGAGATCGTCAAAAAAGGGCCGACCTAAATCTGACTTAGGTCGGCACGTCTTGGCATTTCTTATTAAAATCTGTTTCACGTCTTGGAGCACTATTAATCACGCATTTACGAATCATTGAAATCGGAATATAACTGGAACGTTACCTCCAGCCGGAAAATTCGAAAGTTGAAGCCAAATTTTAACTCTAGACGCGCGAAATTTGATCTTCAAACACCTTACATATATACACATGCAATACCCGTCAAATTTTAAATCTTACACCGTCATGTGTTCAATTAATCGAACTACGAATCGAATTCTGTAATCGCTGACTTTTAATTAGAAAGAATTTGCATTGCTGCATGTGTGGTTTCTTTGATGCATGCTAGTCGTGATATTCGGTTTGAATTCAATTATTCAGGAAGTCAATTTTGGTTTCTTCAGTGGTTATCTTTAGCCACTCCAGTTTTGCCGACTGAGATAATAATTTGCCGACTTGCTGACGAGTGGGGGTGTGTTCCACCCCCCCTGTAGCGCCGCCCCTGGAAAGAAATCTGCCCAAAACGTTTGAAAAACGTAGCCTAACGATGGTCAGATACGAAAAAGAATTGCATCAAGCCCTGAAGACTTCATACTAAGCACGATGTACACCAGAATTGACAATATTTTGAAAGAAATGTGACTGAAAGTTGGAATGTTATTTGACATGTATAAAACTAACATATTTTTTTAAATGCTCATGTATTCGGCCACTTCAAAGCGAAAAAATTAAACAGATAATGTAAAAGAAATGTTTTCCCATTTAAAAGAAGGTTTAACTGCAGCAGTGAAAATTATTAGCTATATTTTATGCTGTTCTGTAAATTCGAGTTCAAATAAGGTTTATGTATGTATGTATGTGTGTATGTGTGTGTGTATGTGTGTGTGTGTGTGTGTGTGTGTG